TATTTAACCATAAAGAACTGGGTTGCTAGCTCTAAGCGCGTCAAGGAGAGCACAAAAGATGAACATATGTCAGGATGCCACAAATCAGCACCATGGACAATCCAGTTGAGGCCATCCATAACATGGTAGTAAATGACAGATGTAAGACTGTCCAATATGTAGCAGGTTCTTTGGCCTGACTTGTGGTACAGTTCACAATGTTTTGTCGGACATCCTGGGGATGAGCAACTTGTCTGCATGATGGGTGCCTAGAATGTTGACTGAACATCACACGTTAAACAGGCTGGACATTTCAAGGAACGAATTCAGTCCATCAAGGCAACTTGCTCAAATGATTTGTCACCCAATATGAGACATGGGTTCACCACTTTCACTCCGAATCAAAACAGCAGAGCAAATAATTGACGAAGAACGGTTCCCAGCATCCCAAGCGAGTTTTACCCGTTGAAAGGGTTTTTGCCTCAGTTTTCTGGGACAGTGAGGGGGTAATCATTATTGACTACCTGCAAAAGGGTCAAACCATCAATGGGATGTACTGTGCACCAGAATTGCGGCATTTGAGGGCAACAATCACAAAGAAAAGGGGAGAAAAGCTCCGAATTGACGTGCTGACAATGCACCTGTCCACACGGCACAGGGGTCAGTGGCAGCAGCAAACGAATGTGGCTTTGAAGTCTTACCCCACTCTTCCTAGTCACCTGACCTAGCACCGTGGGCCTTCTACCTGTTTCCTAAACTGAAGTTCCACTTACGTGGTCAACGTTTTGATGGTGATGATGGCGTCATTGATGTGGTTTAGGCATTTTTAAGGGCTTAAGACGAAATATTCTTCCACAAGGGAAAGGAAAGCCGGAACATCACTGGACCAAGTGCATTGAAGTTAGAGGAGACTATGTTAAAAAATAGTGTAAGAAAAAATTTTCTGCCATCACGTTTTTTGGGAGAGGCCGAGAACTTTTGGATCACCCCTCGTACATCTTATCCCAAAAAAAGATAGTGATCTTAGAAAATTAGAAAACTGGCGTCCCATAACATTATTAAACATTGACTACAAGTTGATTAGCAAATCAATTGCTAATAGACTGGAACCACTAATGTCTCTAATTATTCATCCAGATCAATCAGGTTTTATCAAAGGAAGACAGATCTCTATGAACATCCGGCATATTTCTGATGCCTTATATTTCACAAAAATTCAAAATACTCCAGGATTAGCTCTATTTATAGACTTCAAAAAAGCTTATGATACTTTAGAATTTAAGTACATTATGAAAACACTGGACACAATGAATTTCGGGAAGAATCTAATTTCATGGATAAAACTACTTTATACTAAAGCACAAAGTTGTGTACTTAACAATGGCTTCGCCTCAACGTGGTTTGCCTTAAACAGAGGAGTACGTCAGGGCGACCCACTATCTTCTTTTCTCTTCAACCTTTCAATAGAAACACTAGCTTGTACTATCAGAGATGATAGCTGCATAGTAGGACTAAATGTATATGGAACGCGCAGAAAACTAAGTATGTACGCAGATGACATGACTGCGCTATTAGAAAATGTTAACTCAGCAAAATCTCTAATTGACGTACTCAATCAGTTTAAACTATGTAGCGGTCTAGAAATGAGTGCAAATAAGACAAAAGCAATGTGGCTTGGCTCCAATAGATTTAGAAAGGACAAGCCTCTACATGTGCAGTGGAGTAATGAACCAATCCTCGCCTTGGGAACTTATTTTTCATATGATATAGATAAATGTGATAAGTGTAATTTTGATCAAAACTACAAAAATGGAAAAAGCCCTAAATATTTGGAGATCTAGGAACTTAACAACAATAGGTAGAATTCTTCTTGTAAAAGCTCTTGGCATCTCAAAACTCGTCTACAATTGTACTGCTTTCTCGGTACCTGATGGTTTTGCTGAGAAAGTCAATAAGTACATTTTCAAATTCATATGGGATGACAAAAAACCTAAAGTAAAAATGAAAACAGTGATTGGAACGAAAGAACAAGGGGGGTTAGCAATGGTCGATTTTATTTTGAAATGTCAAGCCTTAAAAGCAGCATGGGTAATGAAACTAGAACAAAATATAGAAAGCGAAAATATATTTAAGAGATGGGGCGGAAAATACTATTTAGATGTAATTATGACATCACATGTTTAGACCTGTCTCAGTTACCTAGGTTTTACAGACAAGTACTGCAGGCATGGCAAAATATTATACAAACTGAACCAGACTCCAACAGCAATGTACGAGCCCAAGTCCTATGGAACAACAGATTTATCTGTAGTCAAGGGAAGTCAATCTTTTACAAAAATTGGATAACAGCAGGTATTACCACAGTTAATGACATTGTATGTAATAAAGGCCGCTTTCTGGAAGTAGAGTTATTGGCCAGAAAATACAAAATTGAAATGAATCCTTTAAATGTTTTGAAATATAATTCTTTAAAAAATGGCTATACCTACAAAATGGAAACAGCTTTTAAGAAATAATCAGCAGAATTACAACCAGGAGGAGGCCTTTAATTTTGAACTTCCAAGATTTACATGTAAACAGCTGTATACTTTCCTTGTCAATGAGACCTTTGTAGCTCCTACTTGTCAAACAGAAATTATACAACATGTTAAAGATGAAAAAGAACCTAAAAAATGTATATACAATGCCCTATAAATGTACAAACAACACAAAAGTACAATATTTTCAATACAAAATTATTCACGGTTTTCTACCAACCAACTCCTATTTAAAGAAAATAAATGTGAAAGAGTCGGACCTTTGTCCTTTTTGTTCAGAAAAACAAACCATACCACATGTATTTGTAACTTGTATATCTGTTAAACCTTTTTGGAAAGAATTCATCACCTGGTGGAATTTCAAAACTCAGTCACCAATATCTTTAGAGGAAAAAGATATCCTTTATGGACACAAGTCAGATATTCTTCTAAACAAATCCATATTGTTATGTAAATATTACATCTTTAAAAATGTTGTACAAAATGAACCTGTCAGATTTCAAACTGTGCGCCAACAATTAGAATTAGCGATGTAACTAGGGGTAAGCCATATATATATTTGTATGTACAACTGTATGTAAAATTTGAAATAAACGATTAAAAAAAAAATAAAAAATAAAAAAAAACTACGGTCAACTCGGTCCACTACCCTGGTCAACTCGGTCAACTCGGTCCACTACCCTGGTCAACTCGGTCAACTCGGTCAACTCAGTCAACTCGATCAACTCGGTCAACTCGGTCCACTACCCTGGTCAACTCGGTCAACTCGGTCAACTCGGTCAACTCGGTCACTACTCTGATCAACTCGGTCAACTCGGTCAACTCGGTCAACTCGGTCCACTACCCTGGTCAACTCGGTCAACTCGATCAACTCGATCAACTCGGTCCACTACCCTGGTCAACTCGGTCAACTCGTCAACTCGATCAACTCGGTCCACTACCGGTCAACTCGGTCAACTCGGTCAACTCGATCAACTCGGTCAACTCGGTCCACTACCCTGGTCAACTCGGTCAACTCGGTACCACTACGTATAGGTATACCATTTTAACGTACCTTACCATATATGATGCTGACAAAATGCTAACTCGTCTCCCCTATTACCTGTCTGATTCCAATGCTGTTGTCCTTGTGTTAAAGACTGTTATCCTCGCATTCAGACCACTGTCCTCGAATTCAAGACAGCTGCTCTCGAATTCAAGACAGTTGTTCTCGATTTCATTCAAGACAGTTGTCCTCGAATTCAAGACAGTTCTCCTCGAATTCAAGACAGTTGTTCTCGAATTTAGGACTATTGTCCTTCTTCCACAACGTATTGTAATGTACAACTACAACTACATTATTTTCCGAAGCATTAGGCATGCAACACACTTCAATATGTATACTACAGCTTCTGAGAAAAAGTCGTTATTTTGGCAATATATTACGTCCTGTAGGTCATTGTGTGCTCCTGTAATGGCTAACTAATTGTCCGTATCGTAATGTGTTCCAGACCGTTCGCTCTGTGAATTCTATCACGGCCTGCTTGGTCTGACCTCTCCTCCCGTCGCAGTGCTAGTTTATGGAGCGTGGCTGTGGAACTCATGCAAAGCTGACTCCTGTTACTGACCTATTCCGGCATCGCCAGCTCATAAGACTAGCCTTATTATACTTTTATGAGGCGGACTTGTGAGGTTTTTTGGCAGTACGCCTTTGTTGTCACTGCCGGCGAACAGTCGTATAAGTGTCATTTTTTTATATCGTTTCAAATATTCGGGTGTGGACGGGAGGTTCGGCCATGGTTGGATGGTGGTTGCCTGGGGTTTGAGAGAAGGTCGGGTCGTGGTTGGCAGTCAAATTTGACTCAAATGTAACTCAAATTCAATTAGATTCGTTAAGAAGGGTAGGTGTAGCATAAATCGGGTCAGACAGTTTCTGAACTTCATGTTTAACCAACCTTGGTCGGCTGGTGTTTAGGTCTGAATGTGCAACAGAGGTTTAACTCAAGAGAAGAGACAGATTCTTCCACCGAGCGACGTCACTCTGGAACACTCTTTCCACTGACGCTCGCACTGCCACCACTATTGCCTCCTTTAAAAGGAAGCTATGGGACTCTCTAGGCGACCCCTATGAGCCTTAGATGTGTGACCCTGACCTCTCCACGTTGATGTATTGCATTGTTGTAATGTATGTGTAAATGTTTGTCTTGTCAGCAGGGCAAGCCCTTAATAATAGCCGCCTGGCTAGTTGGGCTGCCCTGGCTGTACAAATTGTCTTTTTTACAGCCGAATAAATATCCATACAATCACTACCAAGCGAGATGAAGCCGAAAAGAATAGAAATTAGACATTTATTTACACTCTTATATGTTCATATATTTGTAATGTATATGTTTATGTTCATGTTCTGTACCCATGCGACCTGTACCGAACACAAATGTACAATAAAGGTCTTCATTCATTCAATAAATAAATAAATAAATGAATAAGAAGAGACAGATACTGTACCCTGTTTCTCTCCTGCTCCCTCATAGAAATGTCGAAGAGCTTAGCGTTGGTGATGCCAATGCCGCAAAACGGCAAGTAAGTCGCAAAGACCTGTAAAACAAGAATGAAAAAATCCATAGAATAAGGATGTTTTAGAATAATTTCTGGTATGCTAACAGAGTACTGTATATCCTTCTCCGCCTTAGTACGTCATCGTATGGCTGCCTTACTGCCCACTAAGCTCACATATACATTGCTCTTTCTACTAACTGAGACGAGATTCTGCCTTTACGTAGACAACATACGTCATAAAGATGTAAAACTACCCATGACTTGTGCGTAATACGCACTTAAAGGTCAATGTCATCACATTTCTTCAGCTTACGATTCTTAGCTCTGAAACCAGCGAGGCCGTTTGTGACATATTTGGGTATTTACGTCATCACGTTTCCAGGAATTCGCCAGTGACGTAAGTCTGTCTGTAACGCAGCGCGAGCCACAAAGAGGAAATGTAGGATTCGTTTCGGTGCGTGCTCCAAAGCGCACGCGGTGTTGGGTTTCTGCGTCAAGGGTAGACCTACGTCACGTGGAGCACATGGCAAACAGCGTGACAGCTGC